ATGCACAGTGAGATACAAGCACTTGAAAAAAATGCTACCTGGTCCCTGGTTCCTCTCCCGCCTGGCAAACGTGCACGGGATGCCATTGGGTGTACAAAATCAAATATCAATTTGATGGCAGTGTGGAACGCTTCAAAGCGCGTTTGGTGATTTTCGGGAATCGCCAGGTAGCTGGTCTTGATTACACAAAGACATTTGCTCCTGTTGCTAAGATGGTTACTGTTCATGCTTTTCTTGTTGTTGCGGCTAGTAAGAATTGGTTGCTTATCAGATGGATGTCCACAATGCTTTTCTACATGGTGATTTTCAAGAAAGTGTTTACATGACTATTCCTCTTGGTTATTCCACTACCAATCCGAATCTGGTTTGTCGTCTTCATAAGTCACTATATGGCTTGAAACAAGTTCCACGATGCTGGTTTGCTAAACTTGTCGGTGCGTTACGAGGTTATGGTTTTCCTCAATCTTTTGAAGATTACTCCTTGTTTACACGCACTAGGGGCGCTCGTCAGCTAAATGTTCTTGTGTATGTTGACGATTTGCTGATTTCTGGGAATGATTCTGAAGACATTATTTTATTTAAACAATATTTGAGTAATTGCTTTCACATGAAAGACTTGGGCAAGCTTAAATTTTTTCTTGGTATTGAAGTCGCTCGCAGCTCCTCTGGCATTTATCTCACCCAACGAAAATATGCACTTGACATTATTTCTGAGGCAGGTCTCCTTGGTGCCAAGCCTACTTCCTTCCCAATCGAGCAAAATCATAACTTGGCTCATGCCTCTGGACCGCCCCTCACACATCATGAACAATACCGGCGTCTCATGGGTCGTCTCATTTATCTGGCGGTTACACGACCGGATATGGCTTATGTCGTTCACATTCTCTCTCAGTTTTTGCAGGACCCACGTATAGAGCATTGGAATGCGGCCCTTTGGATTGTGCGTTATCTCAAGGGGTCTCCAGGTCAGGGTATTCTACTTAGGGCAGATGGGGATCTTACTCTTACTGGATTGGGCGGCATGCCCTCTCACTCGTAAGTCGCTCTCTGGATGGCTAGTTTTTCTTGGTCATTCTCCCGGCCCGTATCTTGGAAGACCAAGACACAGACTACCGTGGCTCGCTCCTCGGCAGAAGCAGAGTACCGTTCCATGGCTGTTGCTACTTGTGAGTTAAAATGGTTAAAAGCTTTACTTCTCAGTCTTGGAGTAAATAACACGCAGTCTATACCTCTTTATTGTGACAGTCAATCCGCTCTTCACATTGTCCGAAACCCGGTTTTTTCATGAACGCACCAAGCATATTGAGGTAGACTGTCATTTTGTCCGCAATGCCATCCAGGATAATCTCATTGCTCCGAGCTATGTTCCTACCACTGTTCAACTTGCGGATATTTTTACTAAAGCTTTGGGAAAGACTCAGTTCCATTTTTTGTTGCGCAAATTGGGCATTCTTGATCCTCATGCTCCAACTTGAGGGGGGGGGGGGGGTATGGGACCATTATTTAGCATATCACTTTTATTATCTACGGATCTCCTAACTATTAGCTACTCATTATTAGCCTTATATTTTTGGTAAGAGTCATTGTAGGAGAGGGAGTCTTATGCGGCAAACCGTGGATATATATTGTATGGCTTCGGCTGACGTGTGATACATGGAATAAGAATATTGTTCCCTTCTTCTTCTTGATTTGCTTTCAATCTCTTTTCTCTGTTTTACTACTGTAAAATTATGCGTAATAATGCAAGATTAATTTCGTTGCACAATGATTGAAATTGTGACGAATTTACCTTTGAATTGGCTCCATTATCTAAAATAGCTTTTAAGATATAAATAAATTGTCTTATTGGAGTACAAATAGTGTAATATAAAAAATAAAATAAGAGTATTGTTCTCCTAGAAATACTAACACTACAAAATAACACACGAGCTTGTGAGAGACTTTTGGCAGAGATTCCTCAAAGTTGGCAGAAATTTTGGCAAAGATATGCCAAAATCTGTGCACAAAAAAGAGTTTGTCACGAGAACTATCCATCTGACAATTCTCTTCAAATATGGTCCACTCCAAGTTAAAATGGCTGCGTATATCCACACAATGGAAACCGAAAACAACATAGCAAAACGATCCAGTATCAGTCTAGCTAGCCTCTTCAACCTGCATTTTAAAACTTTTATTTCAAAACCTCTAAAATTTTGTCAAGAACACTTGAACTACTCATTAGCCAGGAGAGGGAATTGAAGTCTGCCGAATAAAATAAAAATCTCTTTAATTTTTTCTAAATTTCGACCCGGGTATTTATACTACCGCTATTTTTTATGATTTTGTAACGGAAATTACTCCAAATAGGAGTAAAACAATGACAAAAACTCAAAATATGACTTGTTATATTTTTATTCCAAAATAGGACCATACTAATCATTTTGGAAACATACATATTTTTTCATTCCATTCTTACCCCTCATTTAGATATGAGTAAAAGGTAGTAAAAAGTCATAATTAAATGTTTAATTCATAATAAATTCGAAAAAAATTAAAAAAGTCGTAGAAAAATAATAAAAATTAATAAAATATTTATGATATACAAAATTAAAAAAACTTTAATTTTTTTTAATAAAATTAATAAAAAATAGTAAAACTCCATAAAAAAAATATGGATGCCTTTCCCACCGCCGTACTGCCTCCCTGCACCACTACCTTTGACTGGTGTAAAAAAGGTCATTTTTAAAAGCCAAAAAATGACATATTACTCTTTGAGAATGCCAAAATTTTCATTGAATCAGCCATAAATATGGCATTCCTAATGCATGTGACATTTTTTCCCTGGTGACCGGAGGTGGTGGTGCTGGGGCAGCAGAGGTGCTTTTTTTAGCATTTTTAGTTTTTTTTTAATTATTTTTTTTTAATTTTTTTAATTTTTAAATTAGATGCCTTCCCCACCGCTTTTACTCCCTACCTGCACCACCACCTTCGCCTGGTGTAAAAAATGCCATTTTTTCTAAAAACTACCATTTTTCCTGAAAATGCCAAAAAAATGGAATATTATTCTTTGAGAATGACAAAATTTTGTTGAAACTACCATAATTATGGCATTCATATCGGATGTGGCATTTTTTCCCCTGGTGACCGGAGGTGGTGGTGCTGGGGCGGTGGAGGCTGCGGTGATTTTTTTTGGCATTTTTTATTTTCTTAATAATAACCCGGAGTAATAATAATACCACTACAAAAAAATTACGGGAATGGTGAGGATTTTTGACAGAGACTTCCGAAATTGGCAAGGATATGCCAAATATGTGCCAAATATAGTTTGGCACAAGCTATTTGACATGAAATCATCGGTAAATTCGTGTCAAATCTGTGACAATCCCATAATTTTTTTGTAGTGTACTAATAACATCACAATAAACATGAAAACCACATAATGAATAGCGTGTTCTTTACATAAACATCAATTTGTAAGATTCTTACTTTGCTATCACCCATTTGAGGCACTATTGTTTTAGGGATGAACACAGTAAAATAGCTGCATCGGTAATTGTCTAATTATAATAGGAATCTTGACGTATCTTGTACTTTTTTATTATAAATAATACTTTCGGGGCTGCCATTGAGGTATGCTCCCATATTATTCTCATAGATTGGTCAACAGTTGTTACAATTTATATCAACTTTTCAACTCCATCAATCCGAGAATTGTATATATATATATATATATATATATATATATATCTGTGTGTGTGTGTGTATGTATATATATATATATATATATATATATATATATATATATATATATATATATAAGTTGCATGAACTTGTAATGATGAAAAGAACTTTGTGGTTTAAAAATATGAAGAATCAAATCTCGATTATTCTAATCTTAATAACTACAGGCGAAAATGGAAATAGAAGAAAATAGCAATTTTAGAAGAATAGTTGCTCACCTGGTCAAGATGCCATGAATGAGGTCAGTAAGATGAAGAGAAAAGAAAATAGCAATCTTCAGAAGAATACTCGCTCACCTAGCCAAGATGCCATGAACAAGGTCAATAAGAGAGTCTAGTTCATCTTCCAAATGAATAGTATAGTTTGGCAATATAACTTCATCTCCTTAAATTCCATTGATGATATAAGAGTTTATCCTTCATTTCTTACAAATATTTTTCAAAATACCTATAATATTCTTTGCACATGATGTTGCGAAGCCAAAATACCCTTCATTTCCATGGTGCTAGGTTCTCCAGCACCAAATGCAAACCAAAACTCGGTAAACTGTGACTTGAACTAATTATGAGCCTTGTGACACATTTAAGTAACCAAAATACCTATAATATTCTTTGCACATGATGCTGCGAAACATTTGACAGATAATTATTGATTTTTTTAACGAACACACTATTAAACACTAGTAACCAAAATGCTATACAATTTATCTACTAATTTTGTGTACAAATATAATTTTACATGAGAAAAATAACTTTAAATAATGTCAACTATCATTCATAAATCAATAATAATACAAACTTTGAAAATGATTTATAATAATACCAATTATTTGAATGTAAAACAAAAATAATATGAAGTCACTTTTTCACAAGAAATCAAGTCATTTAAGACATAAAAAACTAGCAATCCATCAAATAAATGATATTTAATTTGAAAATACATACACTTAATAAACATTTTTATACAAGTTTTTGATGAGCTAAATGATTGTTTTTTAGTAAAAATATTCTCTATATCACTTTTGATCTATATTTAAATAGTTGGTATTTTGTTAAAACTTATTTTCAAAGTACGTGTTAAAGTATAAACTAGAATGATATTGAACATGGATAGGAGAAGGATTTTCTATATATTTAATTGAAGGGTAAGGCCCTATAAATATAGATTACAAAGATAGAATATTCCTATAAAAGATGTTATACAATAATACTATATATGGTATATTCCTAATATATTCTAAAGCATATTCTAAAGTATATATTCTAATATACTTTCACACTCCCCCTCAAGTTGGAGCATAGATATCTATCATGCCCAACTTGTTACATAAATAACCAACTCGAATTCCATTTAGTGCTTCAGTGAAGAAATCTCCAAGTTGTTCCCCACTCTTCACATATCCTGTAGAGATCAATCCTTTTTGTATCTTCTCTCGAATAAAATGACAATCGACCTCAATATGCTTTGTTCTCTCATGAAATACAGGATTGTTTGCTATGTGTATAGCAACTTGGTTATCACACCACAATTTAGCAGGCATTGATGGCTTTAGTCCGAGCTCGGTCAATAAATGGCTTATCCATATGATCTCACATGCAGATTGTGCCATATCTCAATATTCTGATTCGGCACTCGAACGAGAAACCACATTCTGCTTCTTACTCTTCCAAGATACAAGATTACCACCAACAAAGACACAATAACCAGATGTAGATCTTCGATCATCTTTAGAACCGGCCCAATCAGCATCTGCAAAACATTCTATTCTCATGTGATCATGGTTTTGCTAAACAATACCTCGTCCTGGTGCACCCTTTAAGTAACATAATATGTGTTCTACTACAGCCCAATGATCAATGGTTGGAGATGACATGTATTGCCTCACTACACTCACAGAATAAGCAATATCTGGACGAGTGACTGCGAGATAATTAAGCTTTCCAACCAGTTTTCTATATCTTTCTGGGTCTTCAAATGGTGTGCCTTCTTGAGTGAGTTGCACGTTGGGAACCATGGGTGCTGTACTTGGTTTTGGCCCTAATTTCCCTATCTCAGCTAGTAAGTCAAGTACATATTTACGTTGATATAGAAATATGCCTTTCTTACTTCGTGTTACCTCAATTCCCAGAAAGTATTTCAAAGAGCCAAGATCTTTCGTCTGGAATTGACTATGCAGAAAATTCTTAAGGGCCAAAATACCTGCAGTATCACTCCCTGTAATCACAATATCATCAACATGCACCACAAGCAATGTGACACCTGAGTCTTTTTGTTTGTAAAAGACAGAGTGATCTGATTTGCCTTTTATCATTCCAAATTTTTCAATCGATTGACTGAATTTCCCAAACCATGCACGAGGACTCTGTTTCAGACCATAAAGAGATTTGCGAAGTCGACAAACATTACCATACTCTCCCTGAGCAACAAATCCCGGAGGTTGCTCAATATAGACTTCTTCCTTAAGGTCACCATGCAAAAATGCATTTTTAATGTCCAACTGATGTAAGTGCCAATCATGAGTTGCAGCGAGTGAAACAAGTAACCTGACAGATGTTAATTTAGCAACAGGAGAAAAAGTGTCAGAATAATCAACACCATAGGTTTGAGCATAACCCTTTGCAACTAATCGGGCTTTCAATCGAGCAACAGATCCGTCTGGGTTAACCTTAACAGCAAAAACCCACTTACATCCAATAGATTTCTTCCCTGTAGGCAAGTCAACCAAATCCCAAGTACCATTAAGATCTAAAGCATTCATTTCCTCTACCATGGCATGACGCCATTCAGGATGAGACAAAGCTTCTTTGACAGATTTGGGAACAGAAATAGAATCAATGGAAGCAATAAAAGAACATGAAGCAGGAGATAACTGATTGTACGACACAATGAAGAAATAGGATGAGTACAAGATCGTGTACCTTTACGTAGTGCTATTGGGAGGTTAAGATCTGATGTGGAGGCAAGATCTGAAGATGCAGGTACTTGTTCAGGACATGAGATCGGAGTCGAACTAGTATTAGGATAAGTAATCACAGGTATCGCCGGTGGAGGGTGATCGGGTGCTTTGTGTCGACGGGTGTATACCAAATGTACGGGAGGCCTAGGGTCAGGAACTGTAACTTGTGGAATATTTGTCGAAAGTGTGGACTCGGGAATAATCATCATGTAAATGAGAATATCATCATTACTCTCATGAATATCTGCCTTAGATGATTAAAAAGGTGTATTTTCATGAAATGATGCATCAATAGAAACAAGATATCGACTAGTACTCGGACAAAAACATCTATACCACTTTTGGACTTGAGAATAACCCAAGAAAATACATTTTAATGATTTGGGATCTAACTTTGTAAGATGAGGATTAACATCTCTAACAAAACAAGTGCAACCAAATATTTTAGGTGGGATAGGAAAAAGCTCTTTGTTTGGAAATAGACAATGATAAGGAGCTTTACCATTCAAAACAGAAGATGACATTCGATTTATCAAAAAACATGCAGTAGACACGGCGTCTGCCCAAAACGGTTTAGGCACATTCATTTGGAATAGAAGAGCCCTTGCAGTTTCTAACAGATGTCGGCTCTTTCGTTCTGCAACTCCATTTTGAGGAGGCGTGTCAACGCATGAAGTTTGATGAATAATGCCATGTTGAAGCATAAATGACTTAAATGTAGCAGATAAATATTCTTGGGCATTGTCTCCTCTTAACACCCGAACAGGAACGTTAAACTGAGTTTTAATTTCAGCACAAAAGGAAGAGAAATGAGTGAACAACTCAGATCGACGTTTCATGAAATACAGCCATGTCATACGAGAATAGTCATCAACAAAGGTAACAAAATATTTAAAACCAGCTTTAGACACAACCGGGCAAGCACCCCAAACATCAGAGTGAACAAGGTCAAATGGAGCATTTGCTCGTTTATTAACTCGCGGGCTTAAGCTAGTACGATGGTGTTTCGCAAATTGACATGACTCACATTGTAAAGAGGTCATCTTATTAAATTGGGGATTTATTTGCTTCATTAATGGGAGAGATGGATGTCCTAATCGGTAATGAGCATCTAACAAAGTTCCAACCCCAAGACAAGAGATACCTTTTGAGATGGATGTATCCAAAATGTAAAGACCAGCTGACTCATGTCCTTTACCAATAATCTGCTTCGTTAACAGATCATGAAACACACAATATCCAGGAAAAAATGTTACAGAACAATTAAAAGTACGAGTGATTTTACTGATGGAAAGCAGATTAAATGCAAAATTAGGAAGACTCAAAACAGACGATAATGGTAATGTAGAAGTTGGAACAACAGTACCAGATCCAAGAACGGGTGAGGTAGATCCATCAGCTAAAGTGACACTAGAAGTAGGTAAATATGAATGAAATGATGAGAATAGACTAGGATTACCGGTCATATGATCTGTGGCACCTGAGTCAATGACCCATTTCGAGGATGAGGAAACAAGACATGCGTTTGAAATACCTGAATTAGCGACTACCGAGACAGGGACAGATGAATGCTTTAGAAATTCTTGGGAGGAAATAAATTTGGCATACTCGTCTGAAGAAATAGCAATTGACCCACAAGATGAACTTGTAGCGGAAGCAACATGAGCAAGCTGATTTCCTTGATTTTTGAGCAGTAATTTTCTACATTCTTTGAGCAAGTGCCCGAACTTCTTGCAGTAATTGCATATTACTCCTCTGTCAAATTGTCTCGTAAAGTACATTTTTTTTTTACGTTAAAGAAAACTTGAAATATTCTGTGAAAACTGGACTCACAACATCTGTCCCGTTTGTGGTTTTAATATCCAGCTTGGGCTTTTGACTGCTGCGCTCCAAACTTAAATCCCAAGCAGATTGCGCAGATCTGATGCGAGACCCAGCAGATAGCACGTGCGAACGTTCTGTGAAGGAGCCAATGTCTGGAGATATGCGAGACCCAGCGAGCGACCAACGACCAGAATGTGCGCTTGTCCCTGGTCACTTCGATACCCCAGGGATAGACCAACCAACCACCAGACCTCTCACAGCTATCGTCCCTTTCTAAAGAAAGAACGAAAGAGAAGTAACATATACCTGGGATAGACGACTCTCAGGAGAGCGAGCGAGTTGAGGAGTTTCGATAAAATCTCCGGCCAGAAACAAGGGCTCACGCGCCGACGCGTGCGACGGCGACAAGTACTCCGGAGGCGCGTGCGTCGATTTGGAGCTGCGGATTTTGAAGGCTTGGTCGTCGAAATGGGTTGCTGGATACCCAGTTCTTCTGAGTTGGGGGGTCTGGAAAAGTTTATGGGAAGCAAGATTCTGAGGTTCTGGGAAGGAAGATTATGAGGTTCTGAGTTGGGAGGTTCTGGACTAGAGGTTCTAAGAATTCTGGACTGAATTCAGGTTCTTGGAGAAAGAACCAGTCTCAAAACTAAACTGATAAAGAAGAAAATAAGGCTATGACTGAGAACAGGGAAAGAGCACAGGCTGAATAATGAACTAAAATCAGCCTGAATACTGAACTGAAATCTGAAAGAAAAACTAAACTGAAATAGAAGTCTCTGATACCATGTTAAAGTATAAACTAGAATGATATTGAACATGGATAGGAGAAGGATTTTCTATATATTTCATTGAAGGGTAAGGCCCTATAAATATAGATTACAAAGATAGAATATTCCTATAAAAGATGCTATACAATAATACTATATATGGTATATTCCTAATATATTCTAAAGCATATTCTAAAATATATTCTTATATACTTTCACAGTACGTACGGAGTATTATTTTTTATTCATGAAGAAAGTTTGTATTATTTAAAGTTAATGAATAATTGACAAGAATAATCTCAACTATTAGTTATATGCTTCAAAATAATCCAAAGTATCAATTATTTCAAAATAATCTCAGCTATTGAAAAATCTTCTCAAAATAATTCGGTGACTTATAATTATTCGTAAATAACTTATACTCCCTCCGTCCCGAAATTATCTTCATTCTTTCCTTTTCGATCCGTCCCAAATTTATCCCCTCTTTCCTTTTTTGATAAAGAATATGTGGTTCACAATCATTCTTACACATTTATCTCTCCTCTGCACAACTCTCCACCACACAAATCCCACTATCTTAATCCCCGTGCCCAGTCAAAACCGAAGTTAATTATGGGACGAAAGGAGTAATATTTATGAGTAATGGAACATTTTGAGAATATTTTTCAATAGTTAAAATTATTTTAAGATAATTGATACTTTAAATTATTTCAAGTTAAAATAATCAATAATACGTAGTAGTTGAGATTATTCTTGTTTAGTTTTCCTAAAGTTAATTTTCTTTTTACATTTGCTAATTTTGCTTCCAACTTATGAAGCCATAACCGGATTCCTGCGGGTACGGATACAGGGCAGTCACCGGCCGCAGAATCTCTTCCATCTTTTCAAGTCTTATTAGCACTTGTTTCCGAGCAAAATAGTACTCCTCACCGTCAAGGTCTCAAGGATTTGCCATATCAGATCTGACCTTCAAAAAATCCAACTTACACTGTGATCAGCAGCTCATTCCTTCCTCCTCAATGGAGGACGCTTATGCTAGATCCGTACCCGAGGTTTGTTTTCTTTTATTTCCGGCACAAGAAAGCTGGAACAGTCTTCTAGAACAATTCAAAACATCGTCTTTTTAGTAGTATGATGATGTGACACAGTATTTAACTATTTGGACAGGTTCTTGAGTTTTTCGGCGTGGAATTATCCAAAGGTCTTACAGATTCACAGGTGCATGTTCTTCCCAGTTCCAACTATGATCATGTCCTAACTTATAGTGAATCAAGTTCAATGCATTTACTTTATAATGTCGTTATCATTTCCAATTGCTGGTTTGATCATTTTGCAATGAACCACCTCTGTTATCCTTCTAGGTTTTTAGTTTTTCTTGCAATGAATGATGAATCACTTCGGTTGTCCTTTTTTTTCGAGGAATCACTTCCGTCTTCCTAAATAGATTATTTGTGTTACGTTTTCTATGTTTCCAAGGTACTTCCCTTTTTTATTCAGCTAGAGTTTGAAGTTTCAATCTTTTCCCTTTTCTCAGGTTGTACATCATACTAGGTTGTATGGAAGAAATGGTACGCACTCTCTGCCCCTTTTTGCAATCTTATGCATATTATGTTATGCAAATTTACCACAAACAATGAATGCCAGGTATTATGGCTATCATACACAGAAATCTGTATTATTGTATTACATCGATATGTTGCAACTCGAGGGTTATAAGTATCCAATGGAAAAATAGGCAGTTATGTATTACTCCCAAATTAATTATGAACTCAGCTTGGTCTGTTGAAAGCCAGACCAAGCTACTCATTTTTACCTCTTATTTATTAAAGCGTACTCTTTTACAGCTTGTGAGTTTTGGCAATGTAAGATAAGTGCATTGTATTAAACGCTCCTCAAAGAATTGTGCTGTTTGTTTTAATTTTAATTAAATATATATTATAGTTGAATTAACTGTTTGTTTTAATTTTAATTAAATGTATAGGGAAAACTGTCAATTTGGCCCTCTTACTTTCATGAAAAAGTCAATTAGGTAAAAAACGTCAATCGAACTTTGTAAAAACGTTCAATTGAGTACATTTGGCGCACACATGGCGGTCCACGTGTGCGCTGCGTCATCAGCAAAATTACTGTTGATTGGGTTGCCACATGTGCACCACGTCAGCGGATGACATGCTGACATGGCAAGTAACCAACAAATGGACTCAATTGAACGTTTTTATAAAGTTCGAGAATTTGATTGATCTTTTGAAAAGTACAAGGACCTATTTAAAAAGATCAGTACCACCAGCATTTAAAAACCTTATTTAGGAATGGCATTGCTGAACAAATATCCATAATTTGCTAGATATGGACTTTTTCATATTTTTTTTATTCTGCTTCATCTTCTGTTTAATAACTTTATCTGTTTCTAATACTTTTCATCTTACTCCTTTGCTTCTGTAATGGCATTGCTTTTGCTGTATTTTCTTGTGATATCAGTGCTGCCTCAAGAAAAATGTAAGTTTGGGTACCATATCTCTTCTGCTTCTACTCTTCTCCCCCAATTCTACCTGCTTGCCATCAGCTATAGTGGCTTAATATCATGGGTCTTCGTTAGGTACTCCTTTCTGGAAGCTGGTTCTGAAGCAATTTGATGATTTGCTGGTTAAGATCTTAATTGTAGCTGCCTTTGTTTCGTTCTTTTTGGCATTGGCTAATGGTGAGACAGGGTTGACAGCCTTTTTGGAGCCTTCTGTAAGACCCATTTAAGTCTCAATCTTAAATGAATATTTACTTGATATGTTAATTTTGTTTTTATTTGTTTTTTGGGCATAAAATGCAATGGAATGACTTCGTTCATTTTTATTGCAAAGAATAAGCTTAACTATTATTAATGAGATCATGGTTTAGAGCATTCATAATACAACTGGGAGGAAACATAAACCACTCTTGGCAGTCAGATCATTGCTCAGAACTATTATGTTTGCTTATGTTTGAGATACTGTTCTACTTCTGAATATTAATGCTACAATACGATGTTCTTTCTCTTCTCTTCCCTGAAATTTGTAATTGTCTTAAATATGCCTTTAGTCTTTGCAAATATAAGACTTTTGTAAATTATTTTTGTATTTTTTTCATCCTTGAAATACATTCCATTTTTTTAGTCCCTCTTTGACTACGGGAAATCTCCATATAGTACCTTCTGTGGGACACCTATCACTGGGTGAGAGGTATATAGATTGATAGTTGTCCTGGACACCTATCAATCTGTATACCTGCGGTGTCCTAGACTCCTACAGAAAGTACTACATAGATGGAGTTTCTTTTCAGCTTAGTAGAACCCAAAGCCAAATATATATGTGCAACATACTTAAATTCACACACACATATGTATATATAAGGTTTGGATATATACATTCAGTTTTGGGGGTGCATAACTAATTTATTATAGACAATGCCTTCTGATTATAAGTCAAATATTTTTCACAAATGGGATATTGGATGGATTCCTATCTAGGCTTTTGTGGGTATCATCCAAGTATCGTGGTGAACATTCATCTGTTTCAGACATTCAGATTGTTGTAATGTAGTCGTTCATCATTATTTTTCTTTCTTAGGTGTTTGTTGTAATTAAAAAAAGAAGATGAAACTTCCACTTGCCATGTTTTATTTTTTACTGCATTCTTCCAATTAAAATGCTAGTTTCACAGGTCATCTTGATGATATTGGCTGCAAATGCTGCTGTAGGTGTAATCACGGAAACAAATGCTGAAAAGGCTCTCGAGGTTTGCATTGAGTTTGAATGTTTGATATAAAGTACTAATTGTGCTGCGTGTACATTTCATCCTGTAGGAAATTCTCTTGACATGGATAGTTTTGTCATACTGCAGTCTGCTTAATTATTGACTTTTCTAATCCTTTAGCAATGTGTTCTGTTAATTTAACTTTTAAGTTGTTGACATAAGAAGGAACAACACTAAATATTGGTATGAGTCTGAGAACTAAATGACATTCCAAACATTCATTCTGTTGAAAAGATTTACTACCTCCATTCTTAAGTCTTAACTAGTTGCACCATTTTATCACTTTCACTATCCACATACTCTACTTTGACCACATTTATGTATTGATGTATTCAAGCATCATGCTAAGATTTTTTTAAAAAGTCACAATGTAGAATTTCAAAATGTGATTTTTTTAATCATTTTACTAATAGCCACTTAAATATATTAATGGTCACAGTCGTGCATTGGCAAACGTGAAAGTCAAACTTATGAAATCAAATAAGAACGGAGAGCATTATTTTGATTTTTATTAGTTCAGTTGTGATTGAACTATGCCAATAGTAGTTTTATAAAAACTCAGTAAAAATAACAACCCAGTCTTAATCCCAACTTATATGAGTCGGCTACATGAAGAAATCTCGGGTCATCCACCAAAATCCTCATTTTCACACTTTTCTATCGTGTGGCACATATCATGTGCCACATATCGTGTCCCATATGCTTATCAAGCCCCACCGCTTTGTTTTTATATACCTTTTGTCCATGTCATTTTTTACCTAGTACATCTTCATTCTAAGTTATGTTTTCTCTTTAAAACTCCCACGCTCCAAAACTCCACTCAGTTATAAATAGATTTTGTGAAAGCAAAAATTTAGATGATACCATTTAATGGGCAAGGAGTCATCTGGTGAAAAAGTCCAAGGAAAAATGAAGGAGACTGTGCTAAAAAGCATCCACAAATCCTTTTGCAAATTACCTTATTGATTGTAATTCTTCTTCTTAAATCCACATCTGATACAGTAAGTTTGGCATTGCAGGAACTACGTGCCTACCAAGCTGATGTTGCTACTGTTCTTCGCAATGGTAATTAAGGGGGTGCTTGGTAAATTGAAGGGTATGGAAACAGGATATGGTATGATGGTGGAGGGCAATGGGAATTAAAATACATTCATTCTCAACCTTTTGGGGGGGGGGGGGGGGGCTTTGGTGGATTCCCCAGAAGTGGGGAATCAAGGTCACTCTTCAACTTCCATTACTCCCTCCCAAGATCACTTTGATTTTCATTCCCAGTTTCCAAAAGGACCAAAACCCCTCCAGCCAAACACAACTTAATACATTAATTGTGCACTTATTAGTTAACATACTTCTTGGGTTAGATGGGAGTATGACTTTAGAGAGAGCAAAGTGAAGGGAGAGTATATGTGTGGAGAATCGATATGTTTTTTGTTTTGTCTCCCTTTTCTCTATTTATCTTTTCAACTCCGATTTCATATGTCAAATCATGTTAGCCGACCCCAAATTCTTTTGGGATTAAGGCTTGGATGTTTTTGCTGTACTTATTAGTTAAAGTCCTACCCGTAACTTTATGCAGCGTTATATTTTGACTTTTGAATCACGTGTAAAAGTCTAAGGTTTGGGGCCTAAGCATATGTTAAAATTTGTCGTGATTGTGATTTTTGTTGGCATCATGTCACTGTAATAGCTTAGCTTATATGACAGCATTGTATGGTTTATTCTCGGCCTGGTTATTTCATTGTTCTGTCAAAGTTTTCTATATGATTTTATTCTTCTTTTCATCTACCAACACACCCGTAACATTTTCATGCCAGTAGATATTACCTATGACGATCACAATTTCAAATTTTATCTTATTATTCCTATGTAAGATGGTTTTGATAGGATAGCATCCAGCATGAAACTTTTCCACTAGTTTCTTTTGCATGAATTTACAGTGTTAACTAAAAGTAACTGACACTATTAATTTAGGAACTATATATGGAAAAACCTCTAAGAAAATCCTTAACAGAGAGATTTGGAAAATCACATGAGAAAATTCTGTTGATCAAAGAAGAGGTAGTATAGTAGATCAAAAGATGATTTCCTGTGTGTTTAGATGAATTACTCAAAACTTACAGTTTGCTCACTCTCAGTAAAATATAACTTTGCTGTGTTGGGTTTGTAAGGAGGAATTTCGAAGTAACATTGAGGTGAAATATAAGAGCACAGCATCAACAACAATAACAGAAGAAACCTAACTTGAATCTAGTCAATGTGCCATTGTAGCAATAGATTGCTATGGCCTGAAGAATAGCTGTACATAATTGAATTTTTCATAATGTTATTGGCATTAAGATTGCGACAATAACTTGAGTATATTTTGTTCTATATTTGCTTGCTTCAACATAAAAGAACTGTCGCTGAGTCGCTGTAAACTGTTTGTTTTTCTTATGAAATAATTCTATCAGGTTGCTTTTCAATATTACCAGCTACAGACCTTGTCCCTGGGGATATTGTAGAAGTCAGTGGTATGTCCCGTTGTATTTTCTCCAATTTCAGTTACATCAACTTTCAAAGTCTAATAGATTGTTTTTTGTTGATAAGCCATGTATTTCTTGTTTTGTTTCACTCTTCTTTGGATGAGCAGTGGGTTGCAAAGTTCCCGCAGATATGAGAATGGTAGAGATTTTGAGCAATCAACTGCGTGTGGACCAGGCAATTCTTACTGGTTAGTTGATGGAGAATGAAAAATTCTACTTATGCATTTAAGTCTCTCTACTTCAGCTTAATGTGTTTTGAGTTATTTAAGTTGATGTTTTTTGATATGGTTCTCTCTCTTCCATTCTCCTCTTCCATTCTCTCACTCACAACCTTGGACGATATCTCTCACTTACGCTCTAGAGAGTTTCATTTTCCTAAAATCATCCTTTTATCCTCTGTACTTTTGAATTTTGATCTTGTTTCAATTTAATCATAAATATTATTCTAAATCTTATAAATGCTGCTCAGTATGAAAAAAGAGAAACAAGGGGAAATATTGGCATTTAGGAGTGCTAGCCACCAGTATATTTGTTTCTAATTACACACACAGGTTTTGGTTCAAATAAAAAGTGCACTTCCCTTGGAAAGTGAGAATAAATCTGGTGCATCCAATGTATGATCAAATGGCTCTAAAATACACCAACAGTGCATTAAAAATGATCAAGAAAGCGTGGCATTTCCGTAATTAAATGAAAAATCGTCATCATAAAAATTGCATCGCTTGACAGCAATAGTGCACCATATATAAGTAATAGTGAAGTTGCTTGCACTTTTCACGGGAACATCACTTTTTATTGGAGCTCCACCCTTTATATATTGTGCATACATACATGAATACAAACTTTTATCAAATGTTGATGACAGGTGAAAGCTGCTCTGTGGAGAAAGAACTTGATGCAACGACAACTACCAATGCAGTGTACCAAGATAAGACAAACATCCTCTTCTCAGTAAGTTCATTAATTCATTAAAGAGAATGGAACCTTGCACTAAGTTGTAGGCTCCTAACCTTATCTTAATATGTGTGACCATCAGAAAACACTTTCTTTACGTGTCACATAAAAGCCAGTGTAACCTTATGATGAGTCATTTTTGTAAAAATGCTCATCAGGAGGTCGGGATGTGGAAGTCCCGACCCCCCTTATTTTTGCAACTATGTTGTTATTTTCTTTCTTTTATGCTTTCATAAAAGAGAATGGAACCTTGCACTAAGTTGTAGGCTCCTAACCTTATCTTAATATGTGTGACCATCAGAAAACACTTTCTTTACGTGTCACATAAGAGCCAGTGTAACCTTATGATGAGTCATTTTTGTAACAATGCTCATCAGGAGGTCGGGATGTGGAAGTCCCGACCCCCCTTATTTTTGCAACTATGTTGTTATTTTCTTTCTTTTATGCTTTCATAATCTTCATTTATTTCTTTTACTGCAATCATTGTTGCAAGTTGCCAGCTAGGAACAACCCTTTTGCTTTTAATTTACCTTTATCAACACAGTGCTGATTATATAACCTTCCCCATGTTGAGCAGGGCACAATAGTGGTTGCGGGCAGAGCAAGAGCTGTTGTTGTTGCGGTTGGATCAAATACTGCTATGGGCAGTATACGTGATTCTATGCTAAATACTGAAGAAGTGAGTATTTTACATGGATACCTTACACAGACATAGCTGTAGCCATTGCGATATCATACAGATGTTTTTTCTCTCATATTGGGTGCAGGAAGCTACACCCTTGAAGAAAAAGTTGGATGAATTCGGAACCTTCCTTGCAAAGGTGATTATTATTATCATTATCATTTATCATTAATATAAATTTTACTCTACCTCCGTCCCACTATTATTCGGAACCTTCCTTTTATTAAGAATGCTGATCTTGTGTGATTAAAATTATGAATACAAAACAACAACATCCAAGCCTTAACCCCAAAAGATTTTGGGGTCGGCTAACATGAAACGATCCATGATATCGATGCCAAAAAGAGAAGACAAACAAGAAGGAAAAAAGGATAAAACGAATAAGATAAAGATAAATAAATATAAGATAACAATAACATAATAATATATAAGAAAGATAAAAGATTAAAAGATAAAAGAGCATAAAAAAGCTAGAAGATAAAAATAACGTAAGAACATAAAATGACAAAGAAGATAAACGATAAAAGAAAAAGAGAGGAAAAAAAGAAAAGAGATCAATCATCCACACGAATGTGCGCCCTTCACTTTGCCCTCTCCAAAGACATACTCTCATCCAACCCAAGAAGACGCATATCAGTTCTGATTCCCCTAATCCAAGTCTGTTTGGGTCTTCCCCTCCCTCTCCTCTTTCTCTTCTCCCCACCCCTCAAGTCGCCTGACAGGTGCATCACTCGGTCTTCTACGCACATGCCCAAACCATCACAAGCGAGACTCTGTCTTCTATAGGTGTTACTCACACCTTTTGTCTGATTATCTCATTCCTCAGGCGGTCTTTTCTGGTATATCCACACATCCAACGCAACATACGCATCTCTGCCACGCTCATCTTTTGAATGTGACATTGTTTCACCGCCCAACACGCTACACCATACATAATGCATACCTCGATCGCATAGAAATCCTGATGCACTCTTCCATTTCATCCACCTAGCTCTGATTCTGTGGGATACACCTCCATCTAATTCACCATCCTTTTGAATTATGGAGCCCAAGCATAGTTGTCATGGCGCATGGCGCAATTCATGGAGCACAAGCCATTTCACATGGCGATGGCGATGACACAAATATGGCATCGCCACGTGACAAAAAAAACTTCAAAACGAATGATAGACACTATAATTCATCAACCCAACCATTAAAACATGATAAAAAAGTTGAATAACAACATTCTAACCAAAACATGTGAAGTTAAAATATTTTAAAGTACTTCCAAAAAACATATTATTCAAAAAACTTTCATGTCTTGCAAAATATGTTAGGATTTAGGCTTGTTAGCTTGTTTTTGTTTGATGATTATGGCATAATCATCATCAATCATCGCACTCCTCATCATCCTGGTTTGAATCTGTTAGCAATGGCACACCATCCTCATTCATTTCATCATCAGAGGGATCTGCAACCTCTTCCGTTTCCTCCATTTCCTCCTCCTCCTCCTCTGTCTCCTCCGTCTCCTCTTCGTCGTGCAACTGAAGTGTTGATGCCCTTGATGTTGTTGCTCTTGTATTTTGATTTGCTTCATTAACACCAACAACTTCTTCCACTACATCCCAGTCTTCCATTTCATTTTGCTCGGCAGCTTCATCAATCCATTCATTGCAATCGTCAATGTCATCCAAACATACTTTCATTTTTTTTTTGAAATCTTAATCTTGAAGACGTTGATTCTGCCGAATGTATACCATATCATTCATTTTTTTGGCAGCAATCTTGTCCTTTTCTTGGTTTGAACCTAAAACAAGTAGATTAAAAATGAAGTATTGATAACGTAAACTAAATATGATAGACAGTTTCATGAACTTACATTTTCAAAAGCACTCCAATTTCATTCACATCCAGAAGCACTGCAAGTTAAACTAAGGATCTGCCAATCTTTTCAAGCGTTTGTTTCAACAAAGGGTCATGAATCACATTAAAGGGGATGCAGTTCCGGTACATCCACAGACAGGCTTTGAGCATGTTCATCCCTCTCTTTTTTCTTCATGTGTGATGGGATTGTTGTTTGTGTCAATGCCTCCTTCCATTTTTTTGTTGGATAAACGAATTTATCCATCGGTCCAGTCACACCAGCTTGGTCTGCATTCGACTGTGAACCGATTATTTCAACGTCATCATCTTCATTCACCCGATTTGCACTTGATCCTTCAACACCAATGCTTGCAGTTCAGCCTTCTTATCAGCAGGAAAGAGTGCACACTCTTTTGCGTTGCGGTGGCTCCCGGCCAAATGTTGTTCAAACCTAGTAATTCCACCTTTAGTAACCTGGCCACAGTGATTGCATCGCAGGTCGTTGTTTTTTTCATTCAGTTTCTCACAATGCTCCTTAGCAAAGGCAGTAGACATCTTTTGCAAGACTGCAAGTTCAAAAGTAAAAACTTCATTGAAGTATCAAATTGAAGTAGTAAGTAGTTAAACTGCAAGTTAAAAAGTAAAAACTTCAGTTAATTTAAAACTTCATTTAAAATTAACATAAATTCTATAAATTCTGAACATAAAGTAACATACAGTAATTTAAATCATTCAATCAGAGCTCCCCGAATGATGAAAGTGGTTAAAGAGGGTTCAGTTAGCTGAAGTTAGTTAAAACTTCATTTTAACATAAACATAAACTATAAAGTAAAAAGTAAAAACTATAAAGTAATTTATAACTGTATGTCTGTATAAAGTAGTTCATTTTAACATAAACACAAACTGAAGTATTAAATGAACTGAAGTTTTTAACAGTTGCTTTCGTTATATGAAAGTTTCATATACTCTTTTGTATAAAGAATAAACTATTGTAAAAAAAAAACTGCATAAAGTATAAACTGAAGTTTTCTTCATTAATACAGAGCATTAAAGAGGGTTCAGTTAGCTGAAGTTAGTTAAAACTTCGTTTTAACATAAACATAAACTATAAAGTAAAAAGTAAAAACTATAAAGTAATTTATAATTGTATGTCTGTATAAAGTAGTTCATTTTAACATAAACTAACACAAACTGAAGTATTAAATGAACTGAAGTTTTTTAACAGTTGCTTTCATTATATGAAAGTTTCATATACTCTTTTGTATAAAGAATAAACTTTTGTCAAAAAAAAAAAAACTATATAAAGTATAAACTGAAGCATTAAAGAGGGTAGTCATACCTTTTGTAGTTGGAAGAAGTCAATGAGTTCCCAGGCTGGCAGTTGGCAGTTGTGTCTGGTTCTGTCTTTTGGCGCTCAAATGTTTGTCGCAGAGTGACAGCTTTAACTTCTACTGTCCGCAGCTTTGTGTACTTATTTACTTTTGTTAGGGTTGTTAATAATTGGCTTTGTGTGTTCATAATGGGCTAAAATATTACGTTTTATTAAGTTAAGTTCAGCAGGCCCAACAGCCCCAAAATCCCAGACCAAATGTCCGCTGATATTTAAAAAAAGCCTACGCATCGCCATGGCGATGGCGATAAATTGGCGATGGCGACACAATGGCAACACCTTGTGTATATCCAACGCCACGGTCCATTTTATGGCGCAAAGGCCTTTTCGGCGCCTCATGGCGCATGGCACAAGCGCCATTGACAACCATGAGCCCATGTAACGAAACATATCACACACCAGTATCTCTTTACTATCAAGAGTAATCCCACTGTTGCTACTACTTCTACTTCCACCAAACTTGCACTCCATATACTCGGTCTTGCTTCAGCCCAATCTGAAACCTTTGGTCTCCAATGTTTGTCGCCATACTTCCAACTTTGCTTTAACACCCGATTGTGTCTCATCAATCAATACAATATCGTCGGCAAACATCATGCACCACGGTATATCTTCTTGAATTGACTTCGTAAGTTCATCCATGACTATAACAAATAAGAAAGGACTCAGAGCTGATCCTTGAATTCACATTTTTTTTGAAGTCTTTGCTCAACCACTCGCTCCCAAAGTTTCATGGTGTGACTCATAAGCTTAATCCCTCGATAGTTGGCACATTCTTGTACATCACCCTTATTTTTAAATAGGGGAATGAGAGTACTCCTCCGCCAACTCATTGGCATTTTGTTTTTTCTCCAAGTCATGTTGAAGAAACGTGTTATCCACTCAATGCCTTTCTCTCCCAAACTTCTCCAAGCCTTGATCGGTATGCCATCTGGGCCCACTGCTTTCTTCCGTCTCATCTTTCTCATAACCTCTTTAACTTCTGTTATTTGGATCCTTCTCACGAAGTCCCAATTTACCATACACTCTGCTATATTAAGATCATCAATACCTTGCACTTTATTCCCGTTGAACAAGGTATTAAAGTATGACCTCCACCTCTCCTTTATTTCCCCGTCCTCCATTAGTACCCTTTGATCGACATCCTTCACACACTTAACTTTTCCGATATCTTGAGTTCTACGGTCACGAAGACGAGCAAGCCTGTACATATCTTTTTTCCTTCCTTAGAGTCCAATTTTGCATACAATTCCTTGTTCACTTTTCCTCTTGCTTCCTTTATAACTTTCTTTGCTCTTTTTCTAGCCTCCTTGTACTCCTCTATGTTCTCATTGCTCCAACTCTTGCCCAATTTCTTATAGCATTCCCTTTTGGTCTTTATTGCTTGTTTAACCTCATCATTCCATCAAGATGTGTCCTTTTTTGGTGGTAGACTCCATTGATAACCACACATCATCCACATGTGCGTCATTATCAATGGACCATACATCTTCCTCCAACATTTTCTGTGCAAAAGTTTGTTGGAGATTCTCCTCGAGCCTCCACTACTTTATCTTTGGCTCCCCTTGTACCTTAACCCGCCTTCTCTTTTTACCTTGAAAATCAAGCACAAACATCCTATGTTAAGTGACAACACTCTCACCTGGGATAACCTTACAATCAAAGTAGCTAGTTCTCCAAGTCGTCCGTACTAAAAAGTAGTCAATTTGGGTGCTATTCACTCCACTTCTATAGGTCACAAGGTGAGAGTCTTTTTTCTTGAACCAAGTGTTCATCATAGCCAACTCATATGTCGAGGCAAATGATAGACACTGGTGATCAATTCAGAACAATAGAATACACACAATCAAAGTAGAACAGTATATAGAATCGTTTATTGAATTCAGAAGAAATCCACAGAGGTA